AGTCCCAGCTGGCCCACCTGGAGGATCAGGTGGCCACAGCGGCCGCCCAGGTCCATCACGCCGAGCTCCAGGTGAGCCCCAGAAGCTCCTCCTCCTCCTCTGCAGCCCTCCTGGTGCTCACCCCTCAGCCTGCACGCCCTTCCAGTGCTCTTTTGGGGTGGTGAGCCGGGGGTGGGTGTTGCGTGGCGGGGCCCAGGCTGATGTGCTCCGTGTGTTTGGCTCTTCCCGGTGGTTTGGTTCTTCCCAGTGGTCTCCTGTGGGGTGCATTGAGGAGAGTGTGGCCAGGAGGTTGAGGGAGATTCTCCTCCTCCTCTGCTCTGCCCTAGTGAGGCCACCTCGGGAGTACTGTGTCTGGTTTTGGGCTCCCCAGTTCAAGAGAGACGAGGAGCTACTGGAGAGAGTCCAGTGGTGGCAGCAGAGATGCTGAGGAAAGGCTGAGAGCCCTGGGGCTGTTCAGCCTGGAGCAGGGATCTTCTCAGTGCTCATCAAGAGCTAAAGGACTCTGGGCAAGAGAATGGGGCCAGACTCTGATTTTCAGTGGTGCTCAGTGACAGGACAAGGGGCAACAGGCACAAACTGGAACCCAGGAGGTTCCATCTGAACGTGAGGGTGCCCGAGCCCTGAACAGGCTGTCCAGGAGGAATATACTTTGCATGTGCATTAAATTGACTTTGAATTGGAAAATGTGTCCAACAAAGTCATTCTTTTTAAAACTCAGCTTGAGTGAACTTGGGATATGCAGCTAAAGGTAACTGGGAGGTGGCAGACACAGGTTTTCTCTCCTCCTCTCTTTTTTTTCCTCACAAGGAGTAAAATGCCTCTTCCTTGGAGGCCCAAGGTAGGTTGGTTTGTTCTTTTACTCCATCTTTGCTAACAAATTAAGCCCCTTTTAGCATCAGGCCTAAAGAACCCAGGGAGGTGTCAGAATGCTGCAGAAGTTAGCTGCCTGTTTATACTTTCTGATTAAAGATTTGACTGGGAGGGTTTAGATTTTATTAGTGGTATCTACAGTAATTCTAAAACTTCTTTTTCCCCCTCCCCATCTCTCTGTCTGTCTGTCTCTCTCTCATTTTCTTTGAAGATTTCAGATATTGAGAGCAGAATATCAGCTCTCACTGTTGCAGGCTTGAACGTGGCTCCCTGTGTTCGCCTGACAAGGAAACGGGATGAAAAGCAAACCAACCAGGTGCCAGAACATTCTGTAGTATTCCAAAATACCTGGGGGAAACCTCACCTCTCTTTCTGGCGTGGCGTTGAGTGATGCCTGTGTGTTTTTTACAGATGCACACAATAGACACGTCAAGGCAGCAGAGGAGAAAACTTCCAGCTCCACCAGTAAAAGGTGCGTTTAAGGGGGTTTGGGGTTTTGGGGTTTTTTTTAACCCTGCAGTGCATTATCTTTGGCAATTCTAGGGCCTGCTTCACCTCACTGTACTCTTGGTTTACTCTTGTGTAATTCCACTGATTGACGTGGCCTCAAACTTTAATAAATCTGGAGTATCACAGCTTGCTGGGTTTAATTTAAATTAAATCCAGCTCTCCTCACAGACCTGAGGGGAAGTTTCCTCCCTCTGGAAGCTGTGACACTTCAGGAGTATTGTTCCATCTGCCTTAATCTGTCATGTGAGGAATCTGCCTTTTTGTATTTTTCCCAGGTGAAAAAGGAGATGGTTCCCCAGTTACCACGGTCAGAACGTTTAACAGGAACTTCATCCTTCAAGGGTCCCTAACACAGAGAACTAAAGAGAGGAAAAGCACTGCCAAGGACTTAATGGTAAACTCATGGGAAATGGTTTTAAAACTGCTGTTAATAGCAGTGAACAGAGAGAGGGGTATAGACTCAGATGGGCTTGGGTAAGAAGGGTCTTTAAACCTCATCTCATCCAGCCCCCCTGCAGGGACAGGGACATCTGCAGCTAGAGCAGGGTGCTCAGAGCCCCATCCAACCTCCCCTGGGATGGTTCCAGGGATGGGGCAGTGACCACCTCTCTGGGCAGCCTGGGCCAGGGGCTCACCCCCCTCAGTGTGAAAAACTTCTTCCTGTCTGATGAAATCTCCTTCTTGTAGTTTAAACCATCACCCCTTGTCCTGTCACAGCAGGCTCCCCTAAAAAGTCCCTTCTCAGCTTTCTGCCAGGCCCCTGGCAGCCCCCAGCAGGTCTCTCCAGCTGGAGCCTTCTCCTCTCAGCTGCCCCAACCCAACTCTCTCCTGCTGGGCTCCCAGCAGAGGGGTTCCAGCCTTCAGATATTTTTGTGTCCCTCCCCTGGATACTCTCCAACAGATCCATTCCTTTCCTGTGCTGAGGACTCCAGACTGCAGGGGGGTCGCACAGAGCTGCCAGAGGGGCAGGATCCCCTCCCTGCCCTGCTGCCCACACTGCTGGGGGTGGGTGTCTGTGTGGGCAGCAGCACTTCAACACCCTCACAAAAGAGGGAAAAGAACAGAAACCACCAGGGCAGCTGTGAGCAAATAGGAGCCATGTCCTGGAAGGGGTCTGACTACAGAGCAGGGGGGGGCAGCTCCTGAGTGTCAGCCTGTGTGTGAAGGTGCCTTAGCTGCCAGACCTCCAGGGGTGTGCCACCCTTCTCTCTTAAAACAAGAAGCAAATCAGTGGGCCCCTGTAACCCAGAGTTCTGAACCAGCAGGTGAGAGTCACCTCGAATCCCACCAGTTTTTGAGACGTGCTCAGAGGTGACTGAAGTGGAATTTTTAGGAATACACACCTGGCTCCCTAGAAGCTTCAGCAAGCTCGTTGTGTTTCACTCATGGATCTTTCCTGTCCCTCTCTGTTGTAGGAACCTGCTCTAGGATCTGCTGTGATGTACTGAACTGACACCTCCCTACTGCCAATAACACACTGCCTAAGGCTGTACACTCCAGTGCCTTTACCTAACAGCCATTGCATACGTCCAGCTGAAAATGGACCCTCAAGAACCCACAATGCCTCAGTTATAGGGCTTCGTTCGGATACCTCACTGAGAAAGCTGTCCAAGTCTTCAGCATTGTGGTCTGCTAAAGGAAACTCTGCCTTAAAAGTTCTCACAAGACTCTAGAAAGGACGCTGAGTTTCAAAAGCAAGGCTCCACGTTTTAAGATGCACTTTTTCTCCCTCTTGATTGTACTAAAGTATGTCGTCTTTAAACTGCAGGATGTTTTTGTACACTCCATCAGGCATCATTCTAGGCCCATATTTCATGCAGAAAGGTGGAACAGAGCAGGCCTGTGAGCCACGTCTGCTTGCTCTCCCTGTTCACCTGGGCACCCCTCGGGTCGAGCAATAAGAACACCCCTGTGCTGTGTGGTGGGGGAGGATGAGCAGAGCGCCCAGCCCCGCTCCCAGGGGGTCAGGGGAAGCTCTGACAGGGTTTGGAGGAGGAGGGGAACGTGCAAAAGCCTCCTCTGTTCATCCAGGGGACGTTTGGCACGGGCAGTGTTCTAGCTGAGGTATCTTGCCCTTGGCGGCAGGGGGGCCGTGGAGGGCACAGGTTGGGCTGTGAGGGGGTGGCAGCACGTGTGGGCCAGATGTCTGTGGAGCTGCCATCCTGGCACCTGGAAATGTCTCAACACTGCTGTGAAACCACCTCCTTTGTATGTCTCATTCTTGACAGCATTGTCCTCTTCGTGGTGTCCAACCATGCCCTAGCTCAGAATGAATTCCGACCAAAGCTAAGATCAGAAAGAGAAATTCAAAGGATTTGGGATGAATATTTGCTGGCTGGCTAGTGGTTGCAGGATGGCTACAGGCCCTAAGAGATTCCCTTCTGCCATTCCCAGGCTTTTCAGAGGAGGGAGCACATGTAGCCCAGTTGTCTCCTCCTGTACTACTCTGTAGTAAACATGGAGTAGCTGGTTCTTGTCACTAGTGCCACGTGCATCCTGCTCCCATTGGACCACCCTGGATAAGACTGTGAGGAGTAAAATTTCTTCTTTTGTTTCTTGAGGCCTTTGGAAGGTGAGCCAATTTGGAAGGCCAAACTTGAGCAGATGCCCAGGAGGGAAGACGTGGCTCACAGGGTGTCCCTGTCACCCTTTTCAGGGAGGACCTTGCTGACGTGTGGGGCTTTCTGCTCTGAGGGATAGAGAGGAGGTGGCTGCAGGAGAGAAGCCAGCCTGGGCTGCTGGAGGGAGGGGACAAGCTGGTGAGTTCTTCCCCAGCACTGAGTGGTGAGCAGTGGGCACCAGGGAGGGAGGAAACCCTGTCCCTGCCAACAGCCACTGGCAGTGCCACACCTTGCCCACCACGTGGCCATGAAATGTCCATGGCTGGGCCAACAGGAGCAAAACTGAGCAAATGTCCCACCCAGGCTGGATTTAGGAGGAGAGGTGGGGAATGGCTGGATGGGAGGGCTGGGAGAGCAGCTCCAGCTCCAGCTCTGCCACCCACGTTTGACATCTGGCTTGTCAGCACTCTGCTGTCCCGCTGCATGCGGGGGAACTGCAGCCAACCTCCCACCCAGGGGACTCCTCCAGGGAACTTCTGCCTGCCCCAGAGCCACCCCTGTGTGTTCATCCTGGTGAAATGGGTTTGCACTGAGGGGGGGCAGGATTCAGCCTGCTCTGTTTAATAGATAAATATACAGAGAGAGCACAAATCGATTTTATTTATATATATATATGCAATCCAGGAAAGGAGATTAAACACAGCAGGATGCCTCATGTTGGGGGTTTGGGGGTTATTTTGTTATCCAATCTCCCCCTCCTTCCCTGCCTGTCCTCGTGTATGTATCCAACACACTCCCAGGCCCTGGTTTGTGCTGGTGTGCGTGTTCAGAAGCATCATTAATGGTGGCTGGTCTCCATCTTTGTCTAATAAATAATAACTAATATCGTGTATGTAATATCAATACAGAAATGACTAATTTTAATAGGCTAACTCTCTGGCTTGTGTTCTGTTAGTGTGATTTCAACAAGCCCAACAAAGTTTGGAATAGGTTGTTTTCCTTAAGAGGCATGAGAAGCAAACTATTATCCTGTTACAATGTTCAAATATTCAGTCTTCTTTGACAGAAAAAAAAACGTGTACTGTGTAAGCATTGCAAAAAAAAAAAAGGAAAAAAAAAGGAAAAAAAAAATCCCACCTGCTATGAGGCATTTGAATTTTTACAAATGTTTATTGTGCCAAATATGTGCAAAGATATAAAAGAAAAAAAAAAATCATAAAAGCGTATGTTATAGCACACAAAGAATTATTTTGTCATCGAGTGATTTCAACCTTGAGTGTTAATATTTATATCTAGATTAATTTTTATAAATGAAACTATTTTACTGGGTAAAATGAAGATTCTATGATCTATTTGATGAAGTCTGAGTGAATATGAAGCTTGCCTTGTTGTCGTTCCCTGCATACTCCCCGAGAATTATTGTCAAGAGAAATTATAACAGAGTAAAAGCAGTCTGTGAAAAGAATTGCCTTTCCAAGGACTCGATTCATAAAGAGAACCCCAAAGTTCTCCTCTGTGGTTTGGATTTCGGGGGCTGCCCATCCACCAGCCCCCCCAGGGGATGGAGTGTTTCCACCAAGGCTGGGGTGGGAGGAATCCTCTGAGGGCATTCATTGAATGCCTGTTTTAAGTCCCACTTTGGGGCAGCAAAGGTGTAGCCACTCCTTTATTCTACTCAAAATCCTCTCCTCGCTGCCAGATGGCTTGCCAAGAGAATAAAAGGGTTAAAGGACCTGCAATGGTTAATTCAACCACCATTAAATTTTAGTGGTTTCTAACAGAGCACACCCAGAAACACAAGTTTGGTCTGATTGGTCTTTTCCAGGAGGATTCATGGGCTGGATTGAACCGTCAGTCGTTAGCTAAGTTGTGAACGAGTTTTTTTGGATAGAAGTTTAAACTTAAACCAGTTATTAACCAAGATTAAACATATTGTAGATAACACTTATAAAATTAATGCTACGTGGCTTGTGGTCCTCAAAGAACAACTTCAGATTGATCAGGTTGCAAACTACTACAGTGTTTTAAAGGTTTCATCTGGTTTAGCTTAAACCCCTTTTGGTTGGTGCACGACCACCTGCAGTGGGCACAAAACTACTCAAAAGAGTTTAATTAGCCAATTTTTGTTGTTTATTTTTTTTTTTCTTCAGGGAGAAAATATTTATCTTTGATAGCAGCTCCTCTTTGGTCATGAATTGTCTCTCTCCAGCAGTACAGGAAGAATCCTGAAGGGCCAATGAGTAGCTCAGGGCGACGTTGCCACGAGTGGACAGTGCCACTACTCACAGAGCAGCAGCATTTCAGGCCATTGATGCAGGTACATGGAAAAAAAAGAGCCTCTTTTTCATTCTTCCAACCATTGCTTTTTATTTTCACTTTGAAATGCCACAGGAAGGTTTCATGATACACTTTACACGCTGGAGTCTCAATCCCAGCACAGAAGCCGCGTGGTTTTGGGGCGAACCTAACGTTACAGCGAGCAGCACCAGGGGACTGGTGGGGGTGTAAGATGAAGGAGAATGGAGATCACCAGTCGTCGTCCTCTGTGTCTGACACTTTCTGCTCCCACAGGGCGTTCAGGATGAAACCCAGGTGTCTGCTCAGGGGCCTGGGGCTGCCACGGCTGCTCCTCAGCTGCCTCTTCCCGAAGCGGCCGATGGGGCGCACGCCACGGCCCACGTACCAGAAGGGGTCGATCTCTGGGCCTGGAATTCAGAGCAGGGAGTGAAGCACCTGCCACTGCCCCTGGAGGCAGTTCCCTCAACATCTCCAGGCTCTTGGAGGGCTTATCTGTAGTCCAGGAAAAATATACCTAAGGGGAGAGGCTACAGGCAGACACACAGCTCTGCGGTGCCTCTGGGGGCTGCTTTCCACGTGTGGAGCCCCAAGGAGGAGGATTCAGATGCACGAGTGATTTTTCTCCATCTGGGCTGCAGCCTGCAATCCTAACCTAAACTGACACCCCCCACAGATTCAGGAGGGTGCAGTGTGGTTTAAAGCTGGCCCGAGCCCTGGAAGAGGTGACAACACAGCCTGTGTGCAGGCAGACACAGCAGCTCCCTGTACCACCACTTCTAAACTGAAGTTGTCTTCATGGGTGACTTTTTCTTCTTTTAAAGTGTCTGAATTTAACTATATTTGACTTGGTTTTGTAGCTTAGTTTTAGAGCAGGTGTGGAATTGTATTAAAAGACTGAGATATAACAAGAGGGAAAAACCTACTAAAGCACTGGAGGTGATCCCCCCCAAGGAAATGCCAAATCATTCCAAATCCAGAGGAGTGTCAGGAACAAGAATCAATTTCCATTTAAGTGCATTATATATCACCCAAGGCACATAAAAGTCTCAGGCAAGGCAGCAGAATTTCCCCCTCTGCGTTTTGATGCTTGAACATCAGAAAAGTAGATTAAAAAAATCCACTTTGGCTGTAAATTTCTCCATAAATATGTCTTTTAAATCTTTCCACGCTGTCTTTACAGCCCTTTTGCCCACCAAAACTCAAGTAACTTCCTTTTTGTTTCACCTGGGTACCTAAAAACAGGATTCTCCCCATATCCCTAGTCCCCTTTAGTGGGGAAAGGTGTGTCACACACCTCACTGGCTGCACCCCCTCTCTCCCTCTCCACATGCAGTCATCAGCCTTCACTCCTCCAGGGAAGGTGAGAGTTCCTGATAAAAGATTTCTCTCAAAAAAACCCTTTTGGGCTGTGATTTCCTTGGGACATGGAGTGTTGGCCAGCCCCAGTTCCTCACAGCATCTCTCAGTGAAGACACTTCAACCCCTTGTGTTTTGGCTTTCAGACAGCTTGTGGTTCCAGACATGAAGATGTCTGTAAAGCCCAGTTAAGCTTCTGGCACTTCTCTTCACTGCACAGAAGCAGCTGTGAACTGCCCCAGGTCTACAGAACACAGCTGAAAATTTGATGTTTGAATATCTGACATATGCCACCTCACATTTTGTCAGTCTCTGGTACCTTAGTGTCTTCTCTGGTGTTTATCAAAATCCACCTTGGTGAACTGAGGGCTGTGAGGACCTGGGGTCTGTAGGTGCACTCAGAGGTGTAAATGGAAGCACAGGGCATCCACCACATCACCACAGCAAAACCCCCTCGTGGATTTGCTGCTGGGCTGTGGCTGGCAGCCTGAGCCTGATCCCTCCCTGATGCACCAGAGCCCCTGGGCTCACCACACGGGGGTCATCCCATCCCCTCAGGTGAGGCTCATACTTACTCCTGTTGTCTATCTGATGTTTAAACAGCCTGCTCTGTCCTGCAGCAAAGCTGAGTGACACCAAGAGCACCAGCACGTAGACAGTGACCAGCTTTAGGTGCCTGGGTGACCACTGGGCACGTGGTGTCCACGAGACTGGATGCCACATGATGGAGCAGTGGTGGGAAGGCTGTGGGGAGAAAAGTGAGCAGGTAGTTAAAGCTTTCAAGGTGAAGGGATCTCATCAAAGCTTAGGAGTATCTAAAGGGTGGGAGTCAAGAGGATGGGGCCAGATTCTTTCCAGTGTCAGGAGGCTCAGCACTTCCAATCCTCCCTAATTTTTCCTCTTCCTAATTGTTCCACCCGTTTGTATGGGGAGAAACTGTGGCAGAGGTAATGCCACAAACTTGACACCACATGATGCTGAGAGTTTCTGACCTCAGCTCTACACTATCTCTAGGCTTTAAGCTCTACACTGCCACTAGGCTTTAAGGATAAGAACAAAATCCTGGTGACCCACTCACTTTTACAAGTAACAGGGCTGGGAGATGGTCTGTGATCTCCTTGTGTCTCCTTACCCCACAGCCCTGCAGCTTTTTTCCAAAGGGAAAATGAAACGATCACAAAAATCTTTTAAAACTTACTAGTTGCAACAAAACTTGGCACAAAGTTTTCAGGAATAATTTTACTCCTGGAGCTTGGCAAAAGCTGGCACCGTTACCGTTTGGTCAGCTGGCTGCTTCTGCTTGGTGCCTAAGCAGAAATTCTGGCTGAGCAGCAGCTCTCACAGAGGTTTGGCAGTTTCCAGAGAGGTGAGAGGGGATAGTTACAGCACGTTAAAACCACTAGGAAAGGCAGAGTGAAGCAGCAGTACCACGGAGTCTGCCTCACCCCAGGAACAGGAGACCAGCCTGGCTCAGCACACCAAACTCGAGCTCTGCAGCAGATCCACCAGGTCTAAACCTACCACAGTGGGTGTCCTCAGAAGACAAGGTGCTATTAACTCTTTAAAGCCTAAGACAGCCCCTCGAGATCAGTGGCTACGTGCCCCCCTCCAACACAAACATGAATGGCTTTCAGGTTTGAAAGCAGCCTTGGGAAGCTCCATCAGCCACGTTGCCTCAGCACGGTCTCCTTTGCTGCAAAAACTGGAGGAAAGTTACCAAACACAGAGCACAGCTGTGTACAGGAGTGTTGGAAAAATAAAGCCCCCCATCCCCCCCCCAAAAAAAAACCCTGAAATCCATCAAGAAAGAGGCAGGACAAGCACTGAAGCAGCTAGAAGGAGGCACTCACCTCTTTGCACCAAAGCTGCTCCTCAGGTCGCCGCCGCTCCAAGCAGAAGCAGGGCAGCTGCCGGGGGCTGGTGCCTTTTTATACTGCAGGGAGGTGGGCTTGAGGCAGGGGGGGGACTCAAGAGGTGGGCCAGGAGGACGTCAGCAGCACTGGCCAGCAAAATTTAAATTTACAAAAGGAGGGGTAGCCCAAGGTGGCTCTGTTAGAAAGCCATCGATCAGGGCAAGGAGCAGGAGCCGAGGGCGGTGCTGGGGATTGCAGGGGGGCACAGGAGGACTCTTGGCTGTCACCCCCCAGCCCAGGAGAGCAGAGGGAGCTGCTGCCACGTCCCTGTAGATGTGGGGACATGGGCAGTGGGGCAGCAGCAGCTGCCACGCTCTCCCTGCAGAAAAGCCAAGCTCTCTGTGCTGCCTGGCTGAGGTGCTCTGGCTGCTAGGGCGAAAGGACCCGTGGGTGGGTTCGAGGTGTGAGGAGAAGGAGGAGAGGGATGATGGGGGGCTCTGACGGGCACCCAGCTGGAGCAGCTGGGCCACCAGCCCCTTCCCAGCCCTTCCTCCTCTTGCTGTTTGCTTGGGTCCTTACTCGAGGGCAGCTCTTGCCCCGTAACCCACGGCTGGGGTCAGCTCACCCACGCCCAGCGTTTAGGCCACGCATCACCCAAGCAGTGGATGAAATCAGCTGTGATTCAGGGCTGAAGCAGGCATCTACCACACAGAAAAATTCATCTGCGTGAGGCTGCCCAAGCAATGTTGTGTTTCTGCAACAGGCATCTCTTCTGCATGGTTATTTTTAACTCCATCTCTTGACTACTGTGTCATCACAATCTCCCTGCTCCAGATCCTTTTGTTTGCTGCGTTTTCCCCCCCGTGGTTCCCTGACCCCACCACCACCACCACGGAGGGGTATGGTCACTAACTGTGGGGTTTGAAGGAAATGTCTCCTCTAGGTGTAATAATTTGCTCTATTTTTACACGTGTATGGACACAACTGGTAAAGAAGCCTGAGGAAGGCTCTTCCATTCTCCAGTTTCCACCTAGTAACAGCTAAAAGACGTGTCTTGCTCCTCCAAGTTTTCAAGAGCTTACTCAGACTACTACACACTGCAAAGTATGAAGAGCACTTCAAGCCCATGATAGCACAAAAGGCCTTTGTACAGCTAAAGACAATCGATAATGTCTATACAGGCTTTCTCCAGCAACCTCCTTTTAGCCTGTTCCCTTTGAACCTTGCAAATGCTCCCCACCTACAAATCGATCTGTGCCCCAGAACTGTGCTTCCACCAGGCTGATTTTGTGTGTGTGCATGGAGAGGAGATCTTCTTAATGACTGAAAACCCTTCCTGGGGTTGCATCGTAGTTTTTCCCCCAGTGCTCTTCACATTGCTTCTGAGCAGAAAAGTGGGTCTCCTTCCTTGATCTCTAGTGGGCAGTTGCTAGAGTGAGGGCTTTTTCTCTCCACGCTATGTAGGACCCTGTCTTGTTTTGCTAAGTGATCTTATCATCTCAAAACAGAAATAAAAGCCTTTTTCATCCCATTTACTCTTTCTAGTCTTGCTGGCACTGCAGTGGGAGCTTTTCATGGCTTGACACCTACGTGGAAGTTACCAACGGTGCGAGGTCTTCACGTTAACAGGGTTTGCTTTATTGGTAAAGGCTGCCTGAAAAAATAATGTGCCATAAAAGGCTACTATAAAATGTTCCAAGCAACAAAGACTAATAAAAAGTGTGACAGTCTGTTTAAATGATCCCCAGCAGGCATTTCTCTTACCAAAATACTATCTCACTCCACCTTCCTTGACTCTTAAGTTATCATTTTGAGGGGTAGTGGCTTCAAACTGGAAGAAGGGAGATTTAGATTAGAAATTAGGGAGAATCTCTTCACTATGAGGGTGGAGAAGTTCTGGAACAGGTTGCCCAGGGAAGTTGTGGATGCTCCATCACTGGATGTGTTCAAGGGCAGGCTGGATGGGGCTTTGAGCAACCTGCTCTAGAGGGAGGAGTCCCTGCCATGGCAGGGAGATGATCTTTAAGCTCCCTTCCAACTCAAACCATTCTGTGATTTCTTCCCACCAGACCACAACTGAGCTACCAGAGTGCTACTCAGAAGCTTCACAGAAATCATCCTGACTTCTCAGGGTCTTTTCAGGCAGTTGTGATTTGATTTGATTTTGTTATCCCATTCGTAGCAGGGTTTATGCTTTGGCTGAGGAAAGCAGGTCGGGTTGTGTGACATAGAAATGAGAAAGCTGCTCAGACTTGGGAGGAACTGGGAAAGAGAATCATGAAAGAGTCAACTGGGAAGATCATTTAGGTACTGCTTGGAGGTTGGAGTGACCCAAGAGGATGAGGTCCTCTAATCCAAAACTGCTTTTTTTCTGTACTTCTTTTGCTGGTAGGAGCCTTCCATAACAGAGAAGGAGAAAAGCAAAGACATTTAATGGAGTTGGATGGAGAAACATAAACTTTTCTTTTCCAAGGAGAAAAGCAAAGACATTTAATGGAATTGGATAGAGAAACATAAACTTTTCCATCCCACCACTCTCATATACCAGTATGTGAATAGTTTCACAAAATAGTTTCATAAATCCATGAATACTGCTTGAGTCATCAATCTTGAGTCCACACACTGGACTCCTGTGTGTGAAATGAGGTAAAACATTGCTGGTCTGATTTTCTTTAGCCTGCAATGAGAGGGGGGATAACACTGATACTTGTGCTGCCTGGAGCTGGAAGCTCCTAATTGACCCTAAGAAGGGAGTATTTGTTGATTGAAAAGAGGCCCAGTTGCATTAACTGAGTTTGGAGGACTCAGAAAAAGTTTTGTTCAAGTTTATTCAGAAAAAGATGACAAATCAAGTAGCTAGATAAGGCTGTTAATTACTTGTAGCTTTACACCGAAGCTGTTCTCAACTAACATTCAGGTTCAGAGGAAAAAGCACTGGCTTTATTTCGGGGCTATTTTTTCCTTTGAGAAAGAGGACCATCTAGTGGTTAACACAGAAAAGATGCTCTTCCTTTCCACCATAATTAAGCAAGGTTTGAAGCCTCACAGGTTTCAGAGGAAAGCGTGTTTATCTTCAAATCCAAGCACACGCTGAGGCCAAACCCAACTGCGTGTACCCCAGGTGCTGGTAAGTCAGACTGACTGTTCCACCACCGCAATGGAAGAGCAGCAGAAGTGTCAGGAAAAGCCCCGCTGTGTCTGTGGGGCAGCGAGCACCCCTCAGGGCAGCCCGGGCCGGGGCGGTCCCTCAGCGGCACTCGCCCTGAGGGGCAGGGGGACGGAGCGCGGGAGGGGCAGGGACCGGCGGCGGCCATCACGTGC